ATTAAAAATATAGTAATATAAAATTAAGTAACATCAAACATTATATCTTGATTGATCAACCGACGGGTTAGTTGATTTAATTAATTAGTTGACTGGCTGGATGACTGGTTTGATTGGTTGAGTGATTGACTTTTAATTGGTTGATTGGTGGTTGGTTGATTTTTAAATTGATTGATCGATTGTTTAATAGATTGGTTGTTTGGTTGATCCGTTGATTAATTGGTTACTTTATTGTAGGGTTCATAGTTTCGTTGAATTGTTGGTTGATTGTTTAATTGACTGGCTGATTATTTTTATTTATTCACTTTAATTCATCTATTTGTTTATTTTGTTATTTTAACCTGTTTATTTATATTTATTTATTGTTTAATTTGTGATTGAGATTTCAATTGTTCATCAGTTGATCTTGGGTCCTGTGACTGAGCCCAACGGAGTGCTCCACGCAGGTAGGAGCAGGGGAGGAGTCTTTAGCTCTGAGGGGCATCGGGCGCTCCCCCCAACCGCCCACTCCAGCCCGGGGGCCGGCCCTCTCCCCAGGCTGGCCCTCTGGGGACTGAGGCCGCGCGTGAGTGCAGATGCCATACCTGCATCTTGGCCACCTCGCACTCCACCCGCTGGCTGGCCTCCTCCTGGTTCTTCTGCAGGGTGCTGCAGACCGCCTTCCAGTCCTGGCCCTCTTGCCTCAGCTTCCCAGTCAGCTTGCTCAACCTGGGGGCAGTGTTAGCGGGTCACGCAGGCCAGCAGTGGGGGAGCAAGGGGGCCTCTGGATGCATTCTTGGGCCAGGCCTGCCCTGTGGGCCAGGCTGACCTACCAGCCTGGAGCAGGAGGCACCCCACCCAAGTGAACACAGGTGCAGAAATAGGCCCCAGGGGCATGAAGGGGGCAGGCAGAGGTGACTGACGGGGAAGGAGAGGGGCAAGGACCCGGCTTGAATCCCTTCTCCTCCCAGAGTCCTCAGTGGGTCCAAGCCTCCCATCAACCCACAGCTTGTCCGGAAGCTGTCGGTGTTGGGAACGTGGGGAGGGCAGGGCGGGGTGTGCGGTGGGGCGCACCTGAGGGTCAGCTCCTGGTCCGAGCTCTTATGTTCTGAGTCCTGGAGCGCCTGCTTCCTCCGGATCTGACCCAGGGCCTCGCGGATCTCCACCAGCCTGGTGCATAAAGAGCCGCCCACGGCTAGTGCCCCCCAATGAGCACCCCCCTAGCAAGCCCCCGACTGCAAGCCCCCACTGAGTGAACTCCAGCCCACAGCAAGCCTCCCCCACAGCAAGCTCCCCCCAGAGTGAACCGCGGGCCACAGCAAGCCCCGCCTAGCAAGACCCCCTACAGACACCCCCCACCACGAGCTCCTCAATGAGCGCCCCCAGTGAGCCCCCACCCACATTGAGCCCCCCCAGCGCCCAGCAAGCCCCCCGACCCCTTCTAGGGGCCCCTGCCGGCTGCCGGGTGCATTGAAACCCAGACCCTCCAAGTGTACGCTTAGTTTATCCGAGCGAGACAATTCAGTGTGTGTGTGGGGGGCGGGGTTCCGGCACCAGCCACCACCCTCCAGAAGCCTGAGCCCTCTTCCCTTCCTGCAAGCCTGCACCGATGGGTGGGGGTACCTCTTGTCCAGGGCTTGCATCTGGGTCTGGCTCGGGGTGCCGGCGAGCTGCAAAGAGGAGGTAGCCAGCACAAACGCAGGGGTGCCCAAGGAGCCCGGGGGGCAGGGGGCAGGAAGCAGGGGGCAGGAAGCAGGGGGCTGAGTTCAGGGTCAGGAAGCCCAGGACAGAAGCCCCCCATGGCCAGTGCCCACCTCGCAGGCCTCCTTCTCGGGGGCCCGGGCTGCCTGTCGCATGTCCTGCTGCAGCTGCTTCAGCTCGGCATCCTGGAGCTCCACGCGGGCCCGCACCTGGAGCAGCTCCTGCAGCAGGCCCAGTGTGGCACGGGCACAGTGGTCCCTGTGTCCCCGGAGACAGGCCACCTCGGCCTGCAGGTCGGCCAGCCTGGGCAGGCAGGAGCAGGGCGTGTGGGCTGGGCCCTGGGCGCCTGGGGACTGCCCCCACCCCTGGGCCCGTGGCTTACCACTGCTCTAGCTGCTTCCAGTGCTTGGGGGTGTCATGCTCGGGGACTGGGGCGGCTGGTGCCAGGCAGCCAGACTCATACTTCTCTGAGATCTCCTCCAGGCTCAGGGGCTCGAGGCTGGTTGGACCGTCCCCAAAGAGGAGCCCCAGGTCCTCCAGGGTGATGGGGCTCAGCTGGGGGGGGGACGACGCCCCCGACGAGGGGGTGCTGTTCAAGTTTGCCAGCACTGCAGCAGGAAGGTCCCCCGGGAACAAGGCTTCTGACGACGCAGCAGCACCCACGGGGCAGGACCTGTGCCCCAAATGGGACACCTCTCCCCACCAAGGTGGGGTGTGGCTATCACTGCTGGACGGCACCCAGTACTGGCAGCAGAGACGGGGCCAGGCCGGGAAGCACAGCCCCCGGCCGCCCAGTGCCTGCTCACCTGGAAAGACTTCACAGTAGCCTCAGCCACGTGGAGGGGCCACGCACCGCCAGGGCGGGTGGGAGCTGCTGCAGAAAACAGGAAGGGAGGGAAGGCTACAGAAATAGGCTCCCATCTCACATCTTGCCCCTTCCTAAGAATACCGGGGGGGGGGGCAGGTGCAGTGGGGGCTGTTCTGGAACCTCCCCTTCCTCACCAGAACCCAACTGCCCAACTCCTGAGCCTGCGAGGCCTCCCCAACTGCCTGTTTCCACGAGGCAGGGCTGGGGGAGCCCTGGCCTGACCTGGCGGGAGTCGGGGCAGGGATGGACTACTAATGTGTCCTGTGTCCCAAGCGCAGGTCCCCAAGAGCACGCAAACGTGGCAAAACAGAGCCATCCGAGAAGAGGTCCAGATGGTAGCCCCGTTAAGACAGTAGAGACAATGAAATCAATCTTGTTTATTTCATTTAATCTGACATATCCAAAATAATATTTCAACATATCATCAATACAAAAGTTGCTAACGAGATAATTCAGTTCTCGGGCAGTGTCCTTGAAACGTAGCCTGCCTATGTGGACGATGCGTCTCCTTCGGGCCTGCTGCATCCAGCCTGCCTGAGGGCTTCCACCTGCGTCCTCCTCCCATCGTGTTCCCCACTCCAGGAAGGGCTGGGTGCAGGCCTCACTGTGAGGAGGGAAGCTACCGTCCGCCCCGCGCTCGCCAGCCTTCCTGGAACCACTCCCCACCCCTGTAGGACCACGGCCCCCGGGGAAGACATCCACCCACAGTGTCCTGCGCACATTCCGATGGAGACAGGAAGCAGCAGCAAGAAGCTGGGGACGGCCAGAACACAGCATTCTCCCTAACCCCTGCTCCTGGGGGCCTCTTGACAACGGGCTCCGAGGGCTCACGTCCCAGCTCTGCTCCAGCCACCGCTGTCGTCACCACCACCGCTGGGTGCCCCCCGTGTATCAGGCCACAGGAACAACTGAGCCTGCCTGGCCTTGCAAGGATGAGTCCTTTATTTCCACGTGCAGACCCCCCACGCAGCGCCTTACCGGGTGGCACCCCCGAGGGAGAGGCGAGCTCTGACCCACAGCCTCCTATGGAAGAGGTGAACCTCAGGGGCGACCTGGCCCAGACGAGCCCAAACATCTGCGCTGCCTGGTGACAGGGACGAGCCTGGGGGCCCCGGGGGTACAGCAGCCATCGAGGGACCACCAGCCCCAGCCTATCCATGCCCACCAGGACCACCGGCCCCACATGTTCCTGGAGCCGGCCCAGAGCAGCACTGACCCCCGCCCAGGCTAACTGGGCAGCCAAGAGCAGGGTCCTCAGAGGCCCCCCCAGTGGCCGCTGCAGCAGGAGAAAGAAGGCCATCACCGCCGGCCCCAGGGGTCTCCAGCCCCCAACTGCTGCGGCGCTGAGATGCGTGCTCACAGGGTTTGGCAGCCTCGGGCCTGAGACCTCAGGCTAGCGGTCCAGCAGGAGGAAGCTCCGTGTTTTCTGAAGCCGCCGGGCTCAGGCCAAGGCCGGGCCAGGGTGCACACCAGGGAGCCTGTGCACGATCCTTGGGACAGCTGGCGTCTCCACAGAGCCCACCCCACTCCCCAGGGGCCTCTGGTTGGCTGGGGCCTTGCCGAGGCCAGGGGCGTCCATGCCAGCCATACATCACCACCGCACAGCCAGACCAACACTGTGCCTGTGGCTAAGGGAAGTAGGCTGGGGCCTTGCAGTGGCGGCATCGGGGGCCAGGGACACCAGATGGTCACGCAGCCGTCTGTGTGCTAATGGGGTGATAGAGAGTGGGGCTGGCCCTGGGGTCATGGAGAGGGCAAGCCCTGGGGTCACGGGGAGGGCAAGCCCTGGAGTCACAGGGAAGGTAGGCCCCGGGGTCACAGAGAGTAGGGCTCTGGAGTCATGGAAAGGGCAGGCCCTGGGGTTACAGACAGTGGGGTCCTGGGGTCACACAGAGGGCAGGCCCTGGGGTCACGGAAAGGGCAGACCCTGGGATCAGAGAGTAGGGCACTGGGGTCACAGAGTGTAGAAGCAAAAGCAGGGACTCTAGCTCAGTCTCTCACAGACACACACGTTCACACCTGTTCTCACACACCCGACACACTCACACTCGTGCACACACCCACACACGCTCCCAACACACACGCAAAGTCACATGTGCCACCCCACACTCACGTCCTCACACATGCTCACACGCTCTCTCACACTCACACCCACACATGCACCCTTCCCAGCTCCCAGGAGGCTGCAGAGCAGGAAGGAAAGAACGGCCGCACACCATGGCACACACGTGACTCCCATGAGGTGCAGACAGCGGGAAGAGAATGGCCCCTGGAGCCAGCGAGGGGCACTGGGAGGCACCCATCGCGTGGCGAGTGCTGGGGGAACGCTCGGCGGTCTGCGGTGGCTCTGGGGTCTAGAAGGACTTCCCTCCTCCACCGCGGGCCAAGGAGCAGGCTTCAGCACGAGACCAGAGGTACCAGAGGTGGGGGGGGGGGCGTGTGGGGCAGGGATGCCCAGCCCTTGAGGACACACGCCTCATGTCTGGGCCAGCGAGAGCTCCTCAAGGCCTCCTCTGCCCAACCGGTACCTCGCGAGGTCCTTCCTGGTCACCAGCCCCACAACCTGTGGGACAGCCAAGGTCGTGGCCAGCAGAGCCCCCACCCAGCCTGTCTGAGTCCCCGCCCTGCTGGGTCCCAAGCTGAGAGCTGAGAGCCACATGCAGAGAACAACCCCGTGCACCAGCACCCTGCCAAAGGAGCTGGTAAGGAGGGACAGGGAAGACCGGGGGCTGCTGGCTGGAACCGGCCTTGGCAGGGAGAGATGCCCCCACCGCCCGACCCCACCAACCTGCCAGGCCCTGCTCACCTGATTGCGGTTGTCCACTACCACCAGATGCCTCAGGCCCAGGGCCCGGAACAGCTTGAACACCCTTGGTAGAGACGCCTCCTGCAGCGGGAAAGTGGGCCTCAGCACCCCCCCAGTCCCCCAGCCCAGTATCAGCACAATTCCCTGTACACCCCTTGGCCAAGGACCACCGACATGCGCCCACTGGCCCTGCCTTGGTCAGCCCATCCTGCTCAGCAGACCCCCGTGAGTCTGTTAACCCCCTCCCCCATGCTCTGGGGACACGGCCCCTCCCCAGGTGGGCCGGCCTCTCCTCAGCCCATGCCCCCACAGGCCCTACGCACTGCCCCCTGCTGGCGCAAGAGGCAGCCACGCCGAGGACATTCTAGCAGGACACCCCACCACTGCACTGTGCTGTGGCCCCCAGACCTGGGGCACAGTATAGGGGGAAGGGTTCATGAACTCCGACAGGTCCATGGTGCACTCGCGCTCGTCCTGGGACACGTGGATAGACTGGATGGGCGGGAAGCGGGGGTAGGCATCCCGGAAGTCCTTCAGCCTCAGCCTGCGCTGCACCAGGCCCAGGTGGGAGCGCTCCACGAACACCTGCCCACACAATGTGGGGCGTGTCAGGGTGGGGATGAGGGCACACAGCTGTCCATCTGGGACCTCCGTTCCCGCCCACATCCACCCCAAGACCCCGCCCCCACCCGTGTCACCCCCAGAACCCCAACACCCAGCCACAAATCCCGAGAACCCTGACACCAGCCTGGGTATGCCCCAGGAACCCCGCCCACATCTGCTCCGGGATCCCCATGCCCTGCCAGCGTCACTCAAGGACCCCAGACAACCACCTGCGTGGCCCTGACACCTGCCCCCCGCCTGCAGACGCCCTGACCCCCACCC